TCCCCGGCTGCCTTGTGCTGCTGCTTTCTGCCTGAAGGCTACTCTGGTCGTATGTTTTGCGGAGGAGTACCCGATGACAGGCAAGACTCAGCTATTTGTCTGGAAAATCTGTTGCAGAACAGAGGTAAAAAACCCAACCAACCACCAAATGCAGTATATAACTATGCTGTGAAACTGGTGTGTGTATATATAGTATTTGTGTGGCGCATATATAGTTTGTGTGTGTATATGTGTGTGTGTATATAAAACAAACAACCCCAACCCCAAAAAACCCTGTCCTGGTGTTTTATTTGCTACTAAATACTTACATGTAAAAAGCAAACCAAGTGACCTCAAGGCAAGCAATGAAAAAGAGGAAACTAAATTCATTACATCGAAGGCTAGCTACACCAATGGCTTCTGTGGTCTCACAGTCAGTATTTTACAATTTTGTTTTGGTTTCTTTTTGTTGCATCTTTTTTTCTGAGAAAATGTCATTAAACCCGTTGTTAAGCTCAGAAGGAATCAGTGGAAATTAACCTGCATCAGTCTCACCTACTGTGGAAATCCACCCCCTCAACATCCTAAGGTGGTTTCAGGTTATTAGAACCTAGGTGTTACATTCAGCTATTTCACATACTGTCTCCTCGTTCCTCCCACATGTCAGGTAAAAAGGTTAACTCTTACCAGTTGTGTGTATTATGTGTTTTTGCTTCCATGACAGATACTGTGAGTGGGCTGGCAAGTGGAAAGAAGAAAATACTCCCTGAAAACTTTGAAGTGGTGATTTCACAGCATTTTAACTCTTCTGAGAATCTCAACCCTTTTTTTGAGATATGCAAAGACAACATAAGTGGGTGAACTTACACTGAAACATAAGTTCAAAGCTGTATTTTGTGGTGTTGACCAGGTTATCCCGCTACAGTCTGCAAGTTTCCTATGTGAGTACATCCTTTGACTTCTAATACTTGGGGTTTTTTTCTGTATTCTTGAATGACTTATAGAACCAAGAAAAAAAAAAAAAAAGGTCAGTGCTCTATATTTTTTGCTAAGCTAATGCATGGTCTTAACACCTCTTCTTGCACCACAGAGTGGCAAGGCAAGGGGGTCTTGCCTTCATTGTGCTCAATTCTTGGGGAGACAATATCTGTTCTTACCAGAGACAGGTAGGTAATGCTCTTCCCGTTATTCCTACTTATGACCTTTGCAGACATGAGTAAGTTGTGTAGAAATTTCCAGTTGTGGCTAGCAACTGTTTGGCACCGCTTGAAATTAATACTGTAGGGACCCCAAGTTTGTGTAGATGGATGACTTCTTGCTACGGGTGTTCCAGGGAGTGTTGCTCACATATAGCTTTGATCAGATGACATGTTTCTTAAAATGCCTGTGGCATTTTATGTACTAGTTTTCCCAGCATTTCTGTCTTTGGTTACAGTGAACCACTGTTAGCAACAGAGAATTTTCCCTAGTGGGGAATTTTCCAATAATGGGGAAGTTTCCTAAAGAAGTAGGTGGAGCGTCCTGGTTTTGGCTGGGATAGAGTTAATTTTCTTCCTAGTAGCTGGTATAGTGCTGTGTTTTGGGCTTAGCATGAGAATAATGGTTGATAACACACTGCTGTTTTAGTTGTTGCTAAGTAGTGCTTACACTAGTCAAGGAAGTGTTGAGCTTCTCATGCCCTGCCATGGAGAAGTGGGGAGGGGGCACAGCCAGGACAGCTGACCCAAACTGACCAAAGGGGTATTCCACTCCACATGATGTCATGCTCAGTATATAAGCTGTGGGGAGTTGGCCAGGGGGCAGCGATTGCTGCTCAGGGACTGGCTGGGCATCCGTCAGCAGGGGGTGAGCAATTGCGTCGTGCACCACTTGCTTTTTGTATTATTATTATTACTATTACTACTACTACTATTTTACCTTATTTCAATTATTAAACTGTTCATATCTCAACCCGCGAGTTTTTTCACTCTTACTCCTCCGATTCTCTCCCCCATCCCACCCGGGCAGGGGGAGTGAGCGAGCGGCTGCATGGTGCTTAGTTGCTGGCTGAGGTTAAACCACGACATGGAGTAACATCACCATCTAGGTTCTGTCACAAGGAGTCGTTAGGCAAATAGTTCTGTTTTTCCTGTCTTCTTCATTTGATTGTGAGGGAAACATACAGCAGCAATGCTGAAGAGCATTTTGCACAGTGAATATCTTTTTGCTTTTAGAAAACTGTGTTTGCCATAGATGTCAGAAGCTGGCAGGAGGAGAGAACGAGCATTGTGGTAGGTTCTGTAAGAAAAACTGTGAGAAGACTGCATCTTTGGTAAAAATCTTTGATTGGCGTCTAGGTCTTGAGCTGCTTCAACCGATCCAGCTGGGGGATCCTTCTGCTCAGTGTGAAAGAGGAGAAGGGTCTGTAATGTTTATTGCAGTGGGTTTTTTCATGCACATCTGGATTTGACATGGACATACTTTTTTTCTCTCTGAAAGTGAAAAATTGATTACAGCAGCAGACTTTCTCAGTCTTGAGGAATTTTGTAAGTAATAATCATACTTCTTTTGTGTGTAGTAAGGCTTGTTTTCATGTACAGTGGGAGAAAGCATGCAAATTAAAGCTCAGCAATTGCAGGATACAAGCATGGGTCTTAGAACCATAAAAGCTTACTTGTTGTCATCCATCTTCCAGGAATTAATCAGAACACCTCTCCTGGAGTTCATACTGACATTCAGATTTCCTGACAAAAAAGTGGGAATGGGTTGCCTGCATGGGTATGGGCATCTTTCTGTGACTGTAGTGCACATATAATTTGTTCTGAGCAGTCTCTCAGCTGCAGCCTCTACTTCAAAAACAGTAGAAGGTATTTTGTGGCCGAGTGTACTACAAGTCTGGTCATTCTGGCATGGGGAGTGCAGAGAGGTGTACACCTATACCCACCAGTCTCAGTGGCTTGCTCTTCTGCCGGCTTGTCTCTAGAGTAAGCATGATCAGAGCACACTTGTGAGATTAATATGCCTCTATCTTGTTTGAGAAGCTTTAATCAAAGCTTAGTTGGTGCTCTGGACTGCTTGTTACTCAGGCAGTGCCATCATGATGGAGGCACTCTCATGTATGCACATTCAGAAACACTTAGGTACTGACAGGTTTAGGCAGTGGTTTGCTAGTGCTTTTAAGAACATCACTTGTGGCTAAGGAATGAATGGGCACCTAACCACATTAGGAAGCCTCGGATTTATTTATCAATGAAACAGATCTTTCACCCTGAGGATCTTATTTGTATTTTCCTGTCCCTGTTAGCGGGACATCCTTTTGTAACTGCTCATGCCTGCCTAACAATGCATTAGATTGACTCCCTGTCTCAGCTCCATCTGTGTTGCCTTCTGCAAACCTGCTACTGGGACCAGGCAGCAGCAGTCTGAGGAAAAAAGTAGCTTTATTCAAATTCTTATGAGGAGTCTTAATTCCATTAAGCAACAACACTGTAAAGGCACATGTGTCTCATGTTTCAGGACAATATTGTTACTTTATTATCATCCTACAGTTGTCAACCAGAGAAAGAAAGGCAAAACATCTTACCAAAAATGGTGAGAGTCACAGTCCAGCTAGAGCTCCATCAGTTAGGAAGCGTGACGGGTATTACAGTTGCCTAACTTCTTATGCAAATGCTGAAACTACCACTAGAAAACAGCTGAAGGCAATCTTTCCTTATTTTTGTGGCTGTTTGAGTATCCAAAATGAAGACTTTATTTAGATAAAATTCTACAGTTCTCTGTACTCATGAAAGACTTCCATTACAGTGAGCTTGAGATTTCTTGAGAGTAATTTGAAAAATTACAGCAGTGTTTGGTACTAGTATTGCTCTGACTTAAAATACACACTTAGCAAGTGCAGTGGGTATGTGAAGGTTGAGTGTATGAATTGACATTAATCAGTGTTTTGTAATGTTAAAGTATGTAGGAGTATAAAAGCTATGTCAATAAAGACGGAAAAGCTTCTGTCAGAAAATGGAAATAATTTACATGTTCAGAGGTAAAGCAGCAGAAATTCAAGAAAATAGATTTTGTTTGTAGGCCAACTGTTTTTGTCACAGTTTTATAAAGGCACTGTTGTGTAAATACTCATTAATGATTAATTACTGCATGAATTCTGTTCACAATATAAGCAACTTCACAAGCCGTGTTGTAAGTACTGTGAGACCAGGTGTTATAAAACAGGGTATGTTCACAGTATGTTAAAGTAAGGCAAACAGGTGCGGAACGACTAGGTTCTATTTCTTCTACTGAATGTATATAGAAAATACTCCATTCTTGTCCTAGCAGGAGCAACACCCCCTGCTGCAGTTTAGGGGAACAATTGGGTATTTGTGAGTATTTATTTACTAACTGACAGATAGTGATAAAGCATGTATTTTGCCACAACCAAGGACAAATATTTGAAGCAGATAACAATAGATGTTCTTCCTGGACCCATGCAGGAAACTTTCTACCTGATCATCTACTGTAGCTGAAGGTGCAATTTTGTCATGTTTTCAGCTAGAGTGGAATTTAGTCCCTTCTGTCCAGTTCTTTCTGTGGAGTGACTACCAAGGGCATTTTACAATGCAAGTTAGAAAATGAGCAGATATTTATATTTGTCTATTATTTTATCATTTTAGGTTCTAACTACATCATGGAAAAGCCTTTGCTTTTGTATGTATTTTTATTCCACTGGCATTTCCTAAATGGTAAGAAGCTGAGTCATAAGAAGCAGTAGAACTGTTTAAATATGTTTCTTTTCCATGTATAAGCACAGAAATGTTAATTCCTCAGTTTTCCTTCAGGTGCTAGCATTTGGGGTTTTTTTCCTTAATGTTTTAAATAAAAAGGTCTTAGCATGCTTTTACATTAAACTAGGTATGTGTACTTAATATATGTATTTTGATATGGGGCCAGGTTGAAACCCCTGGCAGTGTTTCAGCATAGACACCATTTCAGACAAGGTACCGTTTGCATTAAACAGGAAGTTTTATTGGCACTGTCAAACCTGGGAATTGTCATGTATTCTTTACCATTGTGTGTAAAAACAATTGACATTTATATAAACAGAACATTCCCATCCGAGGCACTAACAATTGCCTGTTACTGTGGCAGTGTTCTGAAAGCAACAGCTGAGGGGCTGCGCGCACACGTTTGCCCATTTTTAGTACAGCACTGCACTGCGTGTGTGCACAAAGCAGGTGTTTGCAGGTATAAATAGCCCAGTTTGTCCCAAACTTGTGCAAGTGGATGCAAAAATGTTTAACTTTTCTGAACAGGGCAGATACTTTTGGTCCTTGAAATGTCCTATGTATATGGTAAGACATAACTTTGAAGATTAAGCTTATAATTGGAAACTTAAGTTTTCTTCCAAATTTTGTTTTTCAGCTTTATTCACGGTTGAAGCTCCCCAGTCACTTTACACCGTGGAACATGGGAACAATGTGACCATGGAATGCACATTTCCAGTGAATGGGCAATTAAAGATTGGAGATTTAAGTGTCAGCTGGGAAAAGAATGATGAGTTAAAAAAGCAGGTTTATGTACTTCTCAAAGGAGAGGAAGACTTTAAAAGTCAGCACATTGACTTTAGGGGAAGAATAAAATTATTGAAAGAGAATCTGAACTTGGGACAGTCTCTCCTTCAGATCACTGATGTGAAGCTCAGAGATGCAGGGCTTTACCGCTGTCTTATTGGCTACGGGGGAGCCGACTACAAGACAATCAATCTGAAAGTTAAGGGTGAGAGTGCTACTGCAGGAGGTTCAGTGCTATCTGATAACGTTAAAAGATTTCAGAGGAGTCCCTGAAGTAAGACATGTCTGGTTTAACATTTAAAGAAACCTCTCTAGAGACAGGAGCCGCCTCACGCCCGTTGCGCAGCTGTGTAACTTTGTGTTTCTGTCTACGTTAAATCCATGTTCTGTCATTTATTTCCCATAATGATGTATGAGGAATGGTGTTGCAAAAAGCATTTAGACAGGACAAAGACCAGAATGCTAATGCAATTTTTCTAAACAGCATCAAAATTGTAATAAATCCTGTAGCTCCAGTTACTGTGGAGAGATACAATAGTAATATTTACTTTTCCTGTTCAAGTGTATTATTTACAAAATCCAAGCTGATGTACAGAAACTTGGTCTATGGGCTGGGGATAAAGAAAAGGTGTCTTGCTAATATATGCTGTTCTTCTAGCTTCCTACTAGTAATCATTTTTTTTCCATTTGCTTAGCTCCTTATAGAACTATAACACAAGGAGTGGTGAGCATAGGAGACAACAAATGGAAGTTGACATGTCAGTCAGAAGGATACCCACAAGCTGAAGTGCTATGGCAAAACAGAGAATATGAAGATTTGACTGATAAGGCAAACACAAGTTATGAAACTGGAAGTGACCAGCTGTATCGTGTGACAAGTACCCTTACAATCAAAAGTAGGATTGATGAGATTTTTTACTGTATATTCTGGAATAAAGAGCTGCAAGAAAATACATCTGCCATTTTACACATAGCAGGTAGCATTTCTAAATTTCATTTATGGTAATACCCTTCAAGGGCCTATGTCATTTTGTCCCAGTGGAATCAGTCATGATTTGTTTCTCTTTCCTATCTAACTTTAAAAAGGATAAAAAGAAATACCTGTAGTGTTAAGTTTTGCTATTAGTGCATACTTCCATTGTACTAGCATGTTCATCATGCATGTGTGGATGGAATTCAAGGATAGGAATTTTGCATGACCTACAATTATGTGAAAAATGAGTCTGAGTGTTAAAAAAGTTCCATTATTTGAAAAGGCTATGGCTTGGAGCCTAGAAATGAAACCCTCCCATATAAATTAAATACACTTTCCAATAATGTTCTGTTTTCCTGATGATAACTGTCAAATAAATTTGAACAATATGATCTTTTCCTGCCACTACAGCCTTTGCTTTGAGCATATTTAAATTTAACAAATTGTACACAGATTTTTTGTCTCATAAAGTCTGGATTGAAGGAAGATACATGAACAGAGAAGACTAATACAATTTCTCTTTAGACCTTTTAACTGGTCACCACCCCTACTGCTTTTGCTTTTGGTTACTCTTTTAATTTCTGCATTGTACCCTGATATGCTTGTGCAACCTTTCAACCAGACTGGAGACCTGATCCAACTCAAAAATAGTGTTTCTGTTTATGAGACTGTTATTTGGTCAGGTAATTTCTCTGGTCCTGTTCACTATGGAGTTTTAAAAATGCTTGTGCTGGCACAGTTTTTGGGACTGACAGGGGGTGGGAACAGGCAGCTGAGTGAGAAAGCCAAGTCATCCTTTCAACTAGTGGTGAGCATTCAAGTTTGGTTTTAACAAGAAGTGCCTCTGGGACTCAAGGAGGGCACTTACCCTTTGCATTCAGAGCTTTACCAGATGAAAGGGACCCTCTGTTCTTTTTCTCAGTCAGCTTTTTCCTGTAGTCCTGAGGGGAAACTAAGCTAGATGTAACTCTTTGTGCCTTGGTGACAAGCATGATTTGTGATGGGAATCAAAGGCACTACCACATGGAATGCAGGAAGCAAAGATAAATATGAATACATTCTATCTTTTTTTTTCCTTTATTGAGATAATGAGATGTGGTGAAGTGCACCATCAGCACCTGACCTTAGATATGATCTAAAATGTTGTTATCATGTCTAAACTGCTCATAGCAAAAATAGGATGGTGAAAATGAAAGGAAAAGGGAGAAGCTTATGTGATTATGTAATGTCTTTCCCCGGCTTGTTTTTCCTCAAAGATACAGCTGATGGTGTTCTGTGGGCTGAGAGCAGACGCTTTGTTGGAGCAATTCTCATTGTGACTGCTTTCTTGGGATCAGTGCTTCTATTTATGCTCTGCATAAGAAAAGGTATTAAAATTATTTATTTTAGTGTATCTCAGTTATTATTGATCTGTTCCTTTAATTCATCCTCACAGAAGTGGAATTAGATAATAAAAGTCTGCCTTAGGTCTTTCATCCTGAAACAGCTAAATTTTTTACCACAATGTTTATTTCCTTTTCTTTATCTGACTTAGTTAAATGCTAGCAAGTTAGCAGAGTGCAAGAGGTTGTCAGCCCCTCACAAACTGCTTACCCATGCATCTCTATTAATTTTTCTTATAGGTAATGATGTAGAGGAGTAAGATTAGTGTCTAATGTAGTCAAACATCAAAGCTCAGCTTATACACTTACTGGAAATGGAAGTTTCCTATTCTCTGTCCTCCCTTTTGATTTGGGACCAGAATTCTGGGAGCAGGCAGGGCACTGGAGATTTTTTAGCTTTTTCCCCCCCTGCATTTTCTGAAAAATTGCACTGAACTGTGAGCATTTTTTTTTTAAGTGATCTAATTGTTATGAATTCTACATATATCTTTATTCTGGTTAAAACATCATAAAAATGGTGGACTACATATGAAGTGATATGGCCAGGGTTTTGAGTCTGAAAGATTTTTTTTCACAAGACAGAATATTCTCACTGTGGCTTCATATCACTTGATTTATTTCCTTGTTAAGTTTTGAGCTTTTTCAGTTCATTTCACTGACTTGAATTGGACATTTTCAGCATCACAGTATGCTGAAGAGCTAAAGCATTGGCAATAATTTGTTTCCACTTGCTCACTAACCAAAGAAAAATCTTGGAGAAATAATTCTTAGGGTATCTGAGCATGAAAAGAATATGGTTTGCCCCCAAATTAAGAAAAAAAAAAAAGAAAAAGTTTGAAAGGTGTTGCTTAACCTGGAATAAGTACTGTTACTTTTTTTTTGGTTGGTTGGTTGTGGGAGTTTTTTTTGTTTTCTTTTTTTCTTCCCTTGGAGGGAAGGTAGATGTGTTTGGGTATTTTATATTCAGGGGTATTTTTTACTCTTCATTTTAACAGGTAGAATAAAGTCAGGCAGATCTCAGAACATCCATAGGAGTCATTTGAAAATGTTGAAAGGAAAGCTTTCTTGCTGAACATTCTGGTTTTGGCCAGAACTCTTCCTCTTTATAACAGATTTGTGGATTTTTTTAGCTGGTGCTTAGCTACTTCTTTTTTTCCAGATGACTTTTTGAATTTTTTTTTTTGGTCAAGTTGTCTGCAGAGAAAGATACAAGAGGCATTGAAGCTCATACAGTACTCTTGGCATTATAATATCATACTGGCACAACTCTGTAAATTATTACAAGAAATGCTCCAAAAACCTGAACAAGATACAAGATAGTTGACTAAATGGTCCTCTCAAAATTCTTGAATTTTATGGGAGATGTGAATGTGTGTAGCTAGCATGAAACTCAGCTGGAACTAATGCAAACGCTAGTGGTATTGTCTTTTCAAGTGGTATCTCAAAAGTTTCCACACTAAGAGAGTTGTAGTTTCTGAGGTGGTATAGCAGAACTGTTGGTCTTCCTGTCTGCCAGCTCTCTTTTCCACAGTGAACACCAGGAACAGCCCTAATTTCTGTCTGGAAATTACACAAAACCATCCATATGCAAACTCTACACTGAGTGTTCATGTTCAAGTTCCATAAAATAAGCACAAGATAAAACTAAAATGTGGTTTGGTCACAAACTCATCTCCTGCATTGGTGCTACATGTCCTGGGAGAAGTGTTTGTAAACTTAACTGGCTTGCAGGTGATGCTAACAGGCTGCAGAAGGCCTGTAGCTAACCCTGCACGTGTAAGAGTATACATGTCCTAAGAGCGTAATAGGAATAGGAGCAGAACATGAAAGTGGAAGAGACAGAAAAATCCTTGACTTCTCGGAAGATTCCCATCTGGGGATTTCAGTGAAGGTCAGAAGTTTCCTAGGTTGCTTGAGTAATATTTATTGTTTGTGTGTATAAATGGTAATGTATATACATGTCATGATGTATGTGATTATCATGATTATGTTTTATATATGTGTGCGTGTCATAAACTACAAGTTGATTCAGAAGCTGAAGTAGTAGCAACAGGTTTTTCTTTTAAAACCCAAGCTGTCCCAGATGACCAGATGAGATTCTTTCAGAACAGAACCTCCTTGGAATATGGGCTTCTTTCCCCTCAAAAACCACTGAGAAATTCTTGTTCCCTGTTGCCCAATATGTTCAAATTCTGGGTGAAAATATGCAATGGAAAAACATTTGAACAAGTATTTTTCAGTGATGTTAGTGCATAGTATCAATGGAGTTCTGGCTTAGGAATGAGGAAAGGAAATTGGAAGGGAAACTGACAGACTGGGGGCACTGAAAAATATATTTTAAAGTCTTTGAAAAAATTGAGTGTTTTGAGAACCAATGATTACACTGTGCTAAATGTGCCCTACCCACCAGTGTGCTTAAGCCCCCATTAGATCTAAAGTAAGTATTTTGTTTTCTTTTTGATTTTTGTCTCTTATTTTCTTTCAGCTAGAGCAACTAAGGACAAAGGAAGACCTGTGGCTAGTTCGTCAATAGCAAGTACGTACATACGGGATAAATCTAGCTCAGTGTGGTTCTTGTGGAAGTAATTGCTTGAGAATTTACTTTGTAATGGTGACAACCAAATGCAGATTTACATTCAACTTTCATTTTGCTTTCTGCTTCTCACTTAATGTAACAGCTATGAATTACAATTGAAGAGTGACTTTTCATTACTATGTCAACTCCTTGAAAGGAAAACATGAAAGAGAAGCATACTTGTTCTAGGAGCAGATGCAGTCCTGATAGGCACAAGAAAAGGACAGAATGGTGTGCTGTGTTTTGGAAAGTCTGTGGTAGGATGGGGCGTGCTCCCTGGGCCATATACCTCAGGACATCCTGGTGTGCAGACTCTATGCTGCATGTTGGCATGATCCTGTGTTTTCTCCAGTACTATCATGTGCATTTGAGGGTCTTTGTCACAACATTGAGGACAGAGGGTTCGGCCCTGTTGAGAGAAACACAGGAAAAATCTTTAGCTTCCCTAACAGTTTCTTTTTCCTGCTGTTGAGATACTGATGCTATTTGTTATGAGCAAAGTTCAGTGAATGGCTGGT